TTCGATTTGGGGAGATGCTGCGCAGCACAAATCAGCGCATTCAACCCTGGCCAGTCGCTGCTCCATGCCTCGGCTCAGCTGCGAAGCCTGCTGAAGCGTCGAGGCTTTGCATGAAAGTTCATCTATGTTACTATGTTCATCTCATCTTCAACGAAGCTTGACTTCGACTCGCTTTGCCTCAGCATGTGGGGTGGTCAGTCCATGTGAGTCCCAGACGTCTTGACTTATTTGGCTCAGCAAGCGTGAGGGTGTGAGGCTGTGGTAGAGCCTGGATGTCTTTACTGTGAGACACAGTGAGACGTAGTCAGCAGATGGCCAATGCATCGCATACGAAAGGACCATGAGACCATGTGCCATCATGTTCCATCATGTTCCATCATGTTCCATCATGTTCCATCATGTTCCATCATGTGCCAACCAAAGATGGAAGTTGACTCAATGCGTGTCTCCGTTTTAATGACCGGGTTCAGGACGTGAGGGCAAGTCCATCGAGCAGATCTACCAGAAGAAGACCCAGTCCTGACCTCGGAATCCGAAGCCGGGGAGGCGAACCTGTCGAGGGCCAGCTATGCGAGGTTCCTGCGTGTGTTCTGCCATTGTTGTTGGAACAGAGTACCTGGTCAAAGTACCTCTAGGACCCTTAGGACCCTTAGGACATGCTCGTGGAAGATAAGCACCATCGCTCCCGGCTCCACTTGAATACCGGTGCCTTCGGTCGTTGCGCGCGAGTCTTTGGCGCCCACCCTTTCCGCCCTTTTTGCCTCAAGGCATCAGCTTAGAATCAGCTTCGTGTGTTGGCTGATTCAAGGCTGGAGCACATTCTTCTTCGCCCGGACACATATGTGGGCTCCACTGAAGCCCAGGTGCAGGCAGGGGAAACGGAGAAACGGAGAAACGCCATCTAGGTATGTCTCAGCACGGTTCCTGTAGGTTCGTCTCACGAATCCAGGCACTGCATCATGCTGCATCCAAGCCCTGGCCGCGTGTCGTTACCTGAGGACCTCTGGGTTTTCGATGGCGTGCAGAGCCGCATGGTGCACCGGAAGATCAGCTTCGTGCGCGCGGGAAGATTCTTCCCCCCAAGCTGTAGTAAACCAAGCCCCTGAATTGCCTGAAGCCCCAAAATCCTGAAACCCTTCTTCTTGTGCAATCCTAAACCCCAAAACCTTCATCCGAAATGTGTTTCATAAAACGCCGAGGAGCTCATGATTGCACAACAGTAGCGCCATCGCAGTTGCAAAGGCCAACTCCTCCGACCCAAATATTCCGAAATATCCAACAAATTCCGAAACATCCCAAATCCCCCGGGTGAAGAAACACCATACGTCGGTACTTGAAGGAAGGCGAGGCCGCAAGGTCCAGGATCCGCAAGGTGTGTCCAGCTTTGCCAGGTACCTGCTCTTTACAAGATCTTCGATGAGATCTTGGTGAACGCCGCGGACAACCTGCAACGGGACCCGCAGGCGAAAAGCGCCTCCCAAAGCAGAGGGCATCCGTTAAATCTGTTAAATCCGTTAACCTGACGATTCGCCCTTTGAGCCAGGGTATGGACAGCATCAAGGTGGAGATCCATCAGCAGCAGGGGCTGCTCTCAGTGTGGAACAACGGCAGGCCTGCGGGCACCTCCCTGCCCCAAACCCATGCGACTTCCTTGCCGCACAGCCTGAGCTGCCTGAGCTGCCCTCCAGGGGTCTACCCGTAGTCCTGCACAAGGAGCAAAAAGTCCGGCACTCATGTTACTTTCTGCTCCTCAGAATCACAGTTGGCTCTGCATCTCCCAAAACCCTCAAAGGCCAATGTCCAAAACCCTCAACGCTGTAACCTTAGCCCTAGACGAACCCTCCACTCTAAACCTTTCCGCCCGAAACTGCCCGAAATCCTCCACCAGGAACAAACCAAGAAAACAAGGGAGACAAACATGGCTCGGCAAGCGGCGCAGAGAGGCGAGTGCTTGGCAGAATCAGCACGATTCGATGTCCTCGGCAGCAAGGTCTACGTCCCGGAGCTTGTGTTTGGCCACTTGCTGACCAGCGACAACTACGACGACACTTCTTGTAAGGTGCAAGCGGATAGAAGAAAAAGCGGTGCTGAGGTTCTCTTGTTTCTCTTGGAATGCATAATCGCTTTAGTACAGGAGTGCAATCTGCCAGGTGGTGGGAGGTCGGAATGGCTATGGCGCCAAGCTTGCCAACGTTTTCTCCACCGAGTTCAAAGTGGAGACGTGCGACGGCAAAAACAGGCCGAATTGGCGCTTCTCTCTCGTGAGCACACGTCAAGCCACACTGCTAGCTGACAGGTTTACCCAAGTCTTCACGAAGAACATGCAGGTTCACTTTTTGTCTGCGTGCCTCACATGGTGTTTGTGTTTATTTTCGTTTGTTTGCTTGCTTGTTTGTTTGCATGAAAAGCGTAACAGTGTGTGTGTATATATATATATATTTATGTGTGTGTGTGTGTGTGTGTGTCTGTGTCTGTGTGTGTGTGTGTGTTGCGTTTATGTGCTCGGGGTTCGCCAAAGTTGGAAGGTTAAGGGCAAACCGGAGATCGTTGCGACAAAGGCCTCCTCGCCTCCATGGCTCCACGTCCGTGTGCATCTGCATGCGACCGAATGCGATTGGCATGCGCCAGGAGAAGTCCTTTACCTGCATCACCTTCAAGCCAGACTTGGCAAAGTTCGGCATGACACGTCTGGACGACTTGCGGCCTGCATGGTCACGATAGTCACGATAGTCACGATAGTCCCGATTGTCGATTGTCTCAGTCCACTCTTCATCTGTGGCGCCGCGCGCAGCCCAATTAGACCACCACAGGCAGTGGCAGCCAATGGCAGTGGCCAAGAGAACCAAGGATGACATTGTGTCTTTGCTGACGAAGCGTGTGTATGACGTGGCCGGATCCACAACGGCCCAGCTCCCAGAAAGACTTTGTCGCAGCAGTGCCCGAGGCATGTGCTATCCTTTCAGGACCGCTGTAGCGTCTTCCTCAACGGTGAGAAGTTGGACGTCCGCAACTTCCGCGACTACTGCGACCTCTACCTGCCAGCGCCAAAGAGAGAAGTTGGAAGGGTTTTTCGAAAAGAAAGTCCGGAGAGGAGTCCTTCCAAAAGGCGTCCCGAGAAAAATGGCTTTCCTGAGGCTCACACGCCAGGGCGTGCCGCAAATTTACGAGAAGTGCTCTGACAGGCTCGGCCTGTGGCGAAATGTGAACTTGCAGTGACCGGATAGCCGTATGTGTGGGCTGTCGAGGTGGGAGATCTGCGTGAGCCTCACGGAGAGTGGCTTCAACCAGGCACAGATGCCGGACATGTTTGGGAATCGTTGTTCGTATTGTTCGTTGAGTTGGTTGTCATCATGCAAGGAAAGCCAGCGTCCACGTAGCTTAAGCTCCCTGGTGGAGGTGAGCTTTGTGAACTCGATTTGCACTATTCGCGGCGGGACGCACGTGACCCACGTGTCCGATCAGATCGTCGAGGCCGGATCAAAGCAAATCCAAGCGGATCACATCAGATTGGCTCGCAAATCTTCAATGTACCGATCTCAACTCTTCAATACTTTGAAACCTAGTTGTAAGTTTTTCTGAAGCTCTAGAAACACTTGTAGAACACCTAGCGACCTAGCAGGAGCTAGCAGGAGCTAGCATGCGAAGAGACATGCCAAGAAAGCGAGCGCGGAGGCAATCTTGGAGAAAGTCAAGGCGCAGAGCAAGGAGAAGGTGAAGGGAGGGGTGGATGTGAGACCACACCATGTCAAGCCCGAGTCCAAGTGACCGTCGTTAGGCATCAGCCTGCGGGCGGCTTTAGACTTTAGTTCAGATCTGAGGAACCACCTCTGGGTCTTCATCAAGTGCTTGGTGGAGAACCCTGCTTTCGACTCGCAGACGAAGGAGAGAGCCAAGAAAGCAGTAGAGACTCCTTTCTCAGAACCCGAACAAGCTGACCCGCTGCTGGCCGTTAACCCTTTTCAATCTTTGTGCAACTGGTTTTTAACACGGGATGTCAGGCTTCGCGGAAGAGAGCTGAGAGGGGGGGCACATTTCTTGACTGTGTATATTGCGGCGATGCTGCTTTGCACCGCCTTTTGCCACGAGAATGGTTATTGTGGTTTTGTGAAGTTTCGAGTTTTCCTTGAGCAGGAGACGCTCATGACCAAGCAGTCCAAATTCGGGTCCCGATGCGAGCTGTCGGAGAAGTTCCTCTCAGAGGAAGGGCAGTGGCAGAGGGGGCAGGGGGGGGGGGGGGGTGGGCGGGAGTGGGCGTAACTTCGCTGACTTCGCTGTGCTGTTGCCTTTTCCAATCTCAGAAGAAGCTGATGCAAGGTGGCGACTTGTGGGGTTGTTGACCTCATCCTCATGGCTGCCATGGCCAAATCGAAAGTAGACCTGGGCAAAAAGCTCAAGGCGCAGCCGGCACAGCCGGCACAGCCGGCGCAGCCAGGGCAGAGTGCAGCGCCATGCAGCACCCAGACTGTCGCGTTGCGTAGGCAAACACCGGCCGTGTTGCTCGCCTTACGGGCGTTCCCAAGCTTGAGGACGCCAATGACGCAGGCGCAGCGGAGCAGCGTGAATTGTTGCGCAATGCTCGGCCAGAGCGACAGTTGCATAATAAGGTTCCGTAGAGACGGAACAGTCTCCTCATTGTCATCAGGTGGAAAGCTGTCCCATGAGTGCACGCTGATTCTGACAGAAGGAGATTCCGCAAAGGCTGAAGCCTTGCATGCATATGATCTGAACGACAAAACGGCACAAAGGGACCTGTGCATATAGATCCGTGCTAGGCTCTGGCGGTTGCCGGGCTCAGCGTCATTGGCCGTGACAAGTGGGGCGTCTTTCCACTCCGCGGCAAGGTGCGGGCGAGCGGAATCAAGAAACGCAAAGGAAGTTCGTCTGTACATGTCTCTCCGGACAGCCCCGCCCCAAATTGAGCAATCTGATGGGCACTGCTGGATCACTCCAGGACTCCAGGAATACTCTGCAGAATTCTCTGGGGGCCGGCACTCTGTCAGATTCTCTTTGGATCCTCTGCGAGAAGAAATGCACTCCAGCGCACACTCTGGGATTCCCTCGGGGTGGGGGCACTCTGCAACATTTCCTGAGGGTGGGGAACAAGGTTGTACGCACGCACACACACACACACACACAGAGACACACCCACACGCACACGCACACGCACACGCACACGCACACGCACAAGCACCCGCGCACGCGCACGCGCACGCACATGCGGGTAACACAGTTTGGCTTTGGAAACACCTTCCAGCATCTTTTACTCGTATCTTTTGGTGCAGCATTAGATGCTGGAATCCACAGGAATCAGTTGATTCAGTAGATGTGGCCCCAATTTTGTCAGTCGTTGAAGCCGTAGCTGTGCACTACTTGTTGCTTGCACACACTTATCTGTAGAGTGGTTCGCGCCGCCCTCAGAAGTAGGGGGGCTACATCCTTTAGCTTCAGCCTTGTGCTGCCAGTTGTACTCTACCATTCTGTTGATGCGTTGAAGCCTTACCAACAATGAGGGCGGCACAGGTTACTACACAACAGAAACATAATATAGCAGGTGCGAAGGCGAATGAGCTTTTTGTACCACATGTGCCAGACATTGGGAATAGTGCGACTGGAAATGAGGCGAGGGATGAGCGATGGTGAGACCCCAAGCTACCCGGGTCCATGAGCGCTCATCAACGACGCAACGAGGTACAGGTAGTACAGGTGCACACCTGCCCAATGTATCGCCACGTTTAGGTGTGTGTGTGTGTGCGCGCACACAAGCACGCGTGTGCTGACTCCGAGAGAGGCTTAGTCAGGTGATCATTCAATGTCCTCTGTGTGTGTGTCTCTCTCTCAAAGCACATGCAACACCGCAGCATCTCACATGACTGTCTCGCTCAGTCACTGCCTTAAAAACCTTGTTTCACCAATCGGAAAAGGATCCGACTTTCGAAGTAGTTCTTCATGTGCCGTTTTTTAGCACCGGCCACATATCACGTCACACGACACACACACACACACACACACGTGCACACGCACACACACCCACACCCACACCCACACCCACACACACACACACACACACACACACACACCACACACCACACACACCACACACACCACACACACCACACACACCACACACACCACACACACCACACACACCACACACACCACACACACCACACCCACCACACACACCACACACACCACACACACCACACACACCACACACACCACACACACCACACACACCACACACACCACACACACCACACACACCACACACACCACACACACCACACACACCACACACACCACACACACCACACACACCACACCCACCACACACACCACACACACCACACACACCACACACACCACACACACCACACACACCACACACACCACACACACCACACACACCACACACACCACACACACCACACACACCACACACACCACACACACCACACACACACACCACACACACCACACACACACACCACACACACCACACACACCACACACACCCACACACACCCACACACACCCACACACACCCACACACACCCACACACACCCACACACACCCACACACACCCACCCACACCCACACACACCCACACACACCCACACACACCCACACACACCCACACACACCCACACACACCCACACACACCCACACACAAAACCCACACCACGATCAAAGACCACATCACACCCACACCACCACCACACCACACACACCACACACACAAACACACACCACACACAACCACAACACCACCACACCCACACATCCACCACACACACCCCACCACACCACACACACCACACACACCACATACACACCACACACACCACCAACACCACACACACCACACACACCACACACCCACACACACCACACACCCACACACCCACCACACACCACACACACCACACCACCACACACACCCACACACCCACACACACCACACACGCCAACACACCCACCACACCACACACACCACACACAACCCCCACGACCACACCCACCACACTCACCACACACACCACAACACACCACATCCCAGCCACACACACCACCCACACCACACACACCACTCACCCCACACACACCACACACACCACACACACCACACACACCACACACACCACACACACCACACACACCACACACACCACACACACCACACACACCACACACACCACACACACCACACACACCACACACACCACACACACCACACACACCAAACACACCACACACACCACACACACCACACACACCACACACACCACACACACCACACACACCACACACACCACACACACCACACACACCACACACACCACACACACACACCACACACACCACACACACACACCACACACACCACACACACCACACACACCCACACACACCCACACACACCCACACACACCCACACACACCCACACACACCCACACACACCCACACACACCACACACACCACACACCCCACACACACCACACACACCACACACACCACACACACCACACACACCACACACACCACACACACCACACACACCACACACACCACACACACCACACACACCACACACATCACACACACCACACACACCACACACACCACACACACCACACACACCACACACACCACACACACCACACACACCACACACACCACACACACCACACACACCACACACACCACACACACCACACACACCACAAACACCACACACACCACACACACCACGCACACCACACAACACCACGCACACCACACACACACACCACACACACCACACACACCACTCACACCACACACACCACTCACACACCAAACACCACTCACGCCACCCAACACACCACACCCCCCACAACACAACACAAACCACCCACAACAACACCACACACACCCACACACACCCACAACCACACACACACCTACCCACACCACCACACAACCACCACACCACACCAACCTCAACACACCACACACACCACACACACCCCACACACACACACACATACACACACACACACAGAGACAGAGCGCACGGACAGAAGCACACACCCACACAAACATGGCCACCCGCACAACACAGAGACACGCAACACACACAGCACAGCACAGCGCAACACAGACAAAAGCACACGGACACACCACCCAGACACAGACAGATGGACTGAGACAGACAGAGACAGTCAAAGGCGCGCACAGCTGTTTGAGCGAAGGGCTTCACACAATCAATGAGCGAGTTTTGCAGCTATGAAAAGCATACTTGCTTCGGACCTGCAGAAATTCTTGCTCCATGCATAATTACAGACCATGCATGCGAGGGACGCCACTGGGCCCAGATGGCGTCAGACCTAGCCCAGTTGTCAGTGTTCGCGCTGCGGGAGCAGAGGGCTACAGTACCCAGAGGTCATGCAGGATTCGAACACAAACTGCCAATCAAGCTGCTCAAAGGCCACCACAGGCCTTGGTGAAGGTTTTGTTCGAATTTGTTTGTTGTCACATGCGGAAGCTGTTGGGATGTTCCCCCTTACACTAACAGTCCTTAATGGGGATTATGGTACCCCCTTACAGTTATGAAGGACTGTTAGTACCCAAGGAATCAGTGTAGAAGGACAGTTTTTCCTATACTGTAATCCTCAGCATGCCATTATCTGCTGCACGTGGCTGGACCTGTCGATTCGCGGTGGAGCCGCAGTGCATGTCCCTCGTGCAACTGCTTAGCAGTGAGGGCACATGCTTTTGCAAATTAGCCGCAGTTTTCATTCAATCGAGTTGCGCCTGGATGTCCCAGCACATCAGGCAGGAGTGCAGACTAACTACCCCGTTTGGGGCTGGGGCAACCAATCGAGCTCGATGAGTTTGGCCTTAGCACGTTTTCACACGTTATTTCACCGCAAGTGCATGACGCCTCGTGTGTACCGAATGCAGGCACCCGTTTTCGATCGAAACAGGCGCTCTTGTCTTTTGGTGTTGCTGCAGCCTAGCTAGCCTTCATAAATGTCAGGCATCATCAGGTCTTTCAGCTTGGTTGAAACCCTAAACCCGAAACCCTAAACCCTAAACCCTAAACTATAACACCCTAAACCCTAAACGCTGTTGACCCATGTCATGCAGCAAAGGCCCCTCCACTCGAAGCGTCATCTCAACGAAAGACTGCATCGCACAGCCCTACATGGGCATGTCCCCAAGGAAGGGTACCCCGAATGGCCCGAATATGCCTCCGAATCCAAATTAGAGGAACCCCCCCCCCCCCCCCCCCCCCCCCCCCCCAAAAAAAAAAAACACGAGTTTTTCCGCAAACCCCCTGCATCGATCTTAGACCGAGGCTCCACATTGCGGCCCAGGCCGATCACTTTGCAAAAGCAGCTGCCGAGGAGGATGAGATGCCATGGCTCCGAGATGGGGGGGGTTTCCGAAATTCGGGGTACCTTACCATATGTGGATAAATATTCGGGGTACCTTATTTGGGGTCTTTATTATAAGAGAATCGTACTATGTGGGGGTCTATATTCGGGGTCCCTCATTTTCGTAAACCCCCAGCTGGGTCCAGAGGATCACGTAGGGAGATTCTTGCTGGGCACCTTACAACTGAGAGAACGGCTCCGTATTATGACCCCAACGCTAAACCCTAAACCCTAAAGGGACCACAAATTCGAGAACCTCCCCTTTGTTTGTGTGTGTGGGCTTTCTATTGGGCATCAAAGCAACTGAGGCACATGCTTCAGCTTGGGGGTTAAAAGAGGCTACTATATGTTGCAGTACATATCTTTGTGGTACTCTACTATAACTTTAGGTCTTTAGCCTTTTTGGGTTTATTGGGTTTCTTAATAAGGCAGCTAAAAATTTAGTTTATAGCTACCCTCCTAAGTGCAGCCAAGATATATATATATATATATACATATACATATATACATACATACATATGTTCATAGAGCCACCTGAGGCCGAATTTCAGGTTTGCGGTCTGCAGGGTTGTAGCATGAGGGGCCACTTTTCAAAGCAGGTTTGGGCTTACCCTAAGCCCTAAACCCCTAAACCCTAGACCCTGAACCCTAAACCCTAAACGCTAAACTCTAAACCCTAAACCCTAAACCCTAAACCCTAAACCCTAAACCCTAAACCCTAAACAACCCTAACGACCTTAACCCGCTTTGAACGATCTCAAAGGCCCGAGGAGTCCGAGAAGACTTTGCGGAAGCGGCAGTTGAAACGCGAGGTGGGGCCAGAAGGGGCGCATGCTCGCCAAACAGGGTTTAGGGTTTAGGGTTTAGGGTTTAGGGTTTAGGGTTTAGGGTGTAGGGTTGAGGGTTGAGGGTTGAGGGTTTCAAGGTCTCAGGAATTTTGGGTTACCGGCTTTTGCCGTGGGGAGAAGGGGGGAGGGAGACAGGCAGAGAGAAACGACAAACTAAACCCGAAACCCCAAACCCTAAACCCCAACATACCAGAAAAAGGGACGGAGCGAGAGCGAGAGGGGCTGTGGGGAGGGGGGGAGGGGGGGCTCGCAGGGTTTCGGGAGGGGGAAGGTTGGGGAGATAGTATAAGGATGGGGGTCCCTGAAAATGGCCCTTGGGTCCCTTACTTAACTTATCCAACGGTTGAACTTTAAACGTTTTGGATTTCCTTGTTTAGTGGGAAAAGAAGTTTAACGTTTTTCCCCTTGGGTTATTGGAGAAGTAAGCTTACCTTCCTTGAAGGGTTCCAGGGGTTCCCCCATTGCGCCTGGAAGAGGTCGGCTGTGCCGTCCATCTTCGCGAGAGATGTGCCCGCTTTGCCCAGGGCTCAGTTTTGTCATGGGTTGAGGGTTTAGGGTTCAGAAAACGCCTCGCAAAGGGGGGGGGGGGGGGGGGGGGGGGGCGGAAGCTCTCTGTTGTTCTGGCTTTCAGGATCTTTTCTATCACCGTAGGTCGCAACGTGAAAGCCCCCTTGAGGTCTATGGACGCGACGCAGAAGGCTTCGAGGCTGGGCCCGGGCGACTAGCTTCAGAAAGCTCCGGCTCACGCAAAACCCTAGAGCTGGACCCTGAAGCGAGCGGGTGTGCTTAAGGGGCCATGGGTTTGACAGAGCAATTTGCGGCTGCGAGCCAAAGGGTTGCGAGGGGTTCAAGATTGAAAGAAAACGGTCTCATGTAGGGTTTAGCTGAGGGTTTTTTTTTGCAAGTGGGATGTCCTGGTACTTGTGATCCAAAGAACATCGCCCCTACATAGCACTATGCGACCTTTTGAACCCCTCACACCCCAAGTTGATGTTTGCTCGCTATCTGTGAAGACATGACCCATAGGTTTGCACAGCTTCCTTCCTAAGCAAGCATTACGCGTCTATAGAACACCCACACGCTGTGCACACTAGCTAGCCCTGCTAGGTGTTGGAAAGAACTTGGGCCAATAGACTGGCACACACTTTGCCGAAACTCCAGGTGCTTCTTTTCTCGCTCGAGCACCCTGGAACCGGACATACCAAAAGTAGGCCTGAGTTCTTAAAAGATAACATGGGCGTTTACAATAAGAAGGAACCCCTAATCTAGACTCCCCAATGGTAGGATCCCCCTTAAACAGGACCCATCTGAAGTAGGGTTTATATTGCTGTTTTTTGGTGAACGTATACAAGGTTCCTTTTAATTTTGGTGAGTGTATATAATGGGTGTCCTTTTGGGGATGTGAAGGACTTGGAGCGGCTTCGTGGTGTGCTTTAGATTTTTCGCTTCTTGCTCGGACAGCTCTTCGGAGACTCCAGAGATACAAGAAATATATACCCTACTTCATATAAGGTCATAAGGTACCCCTCTTTTCCTTTGTGGTACCTTACCGTAACTTTAGATCCTTACCTTTTTGGGGTTTATTGGGTTTCTTAATAAGGCAGCAAAAATCTTAATTCGTAGCTACCC